CCTGTCAAAAATTCTTTTAAACTGCATTTTTTCAAGTTAATATGATGTTAGTATATTTTTAGAATTTTGTTTAAAGTTTAGATACTTAATTTAAGCGTGTGGCGACACTAAAATTTGATTTTTCTCAAAACTAGATTTTATGCATAATTTTCACACTTCAAACACGATAACTCAAGATATTATCATTCGATTGTTCTGAAATTTTGTGAACAGTTTCTTCCAATGTGTCTCTAGTGAATGTACTAGAATAATGTATATTGTAACAAGATTTTTTAAATTATGGTCTTTTATTTGGAAAATGACATAAAAATTTGCTGAAAATCTTATAATGATTGTTCGATTAGCTCTAAAATTTTTATTTATCCTAAGAATGTTAAGGTTCTAGTACAAGCACTAGTCCATAGTATGTAGTTTATTTTAGTAATAATTTTATTTGAATTATTACGAAATTTTGACCTCCAGCAGAAATTTTTTCCTTTAAAAAGCAGCAGAAATTCAAGATTTTTGTAAATTCATAATAATTTATACTCAAAAATCATACTCTAATATTAATCTTTATTAAATTCGAATCTAAAAAGCATATTTTGGTGTTGCTATTTCATAATTTTCAAAAAAAAGTGCTCCGAACGTGTTCGGATACTTTAAAATCAGAAATCCGTCATTTGCACCTGATTAAGTCTGCGGTGATATATTTAAATTTTTCTCCCTGCTTTCTACTCTGTCCCCTAAATAAACAATTGAGTTTACCGATCTAAGTTGTTTATTTTGGGACCGAATGATTCCCGCCAACACAATGGGGGCCCGACTCGTTATTTGAACCACTTATTGGTCGCAAACTCCATTTTGCCAACTCGCAGATTTCAGTCTTGGCAGTTGGCTATGCCTCTTCTATCTGACTCTTCAGCAAATATGTAAAGAACCACTTGTTGGATTCAAACTTAACTTTGCCACCTCAGTGACGGCGGATCTTCTGTCTGATCTTCAGCAAACATAGCCCTCTCCCCTCTGGTACCAGTCCTTTACTTTCTGGACGTTATAGGAAATCTAATACAGATACGCGTGACGTTTTAATATCTCGGCGTGTGCGTTCTACAGTGGGAGACGTTGAAAAAACTCTTCTTGAAACCTTACCAAACTCATTTCCTTTTCGTTTGATCTATCACGCGTGACGTTTTAATATCTTGGTGTGTGCGTTCTACAGTGGGAGACGTTGAAAAAACTCTTCTTGAAACCTTACCAAACTCATTTCCTTTTCGTTTGACCTATCACGCGTGACGTTTTAATGTCGTGGTGTGTGCGTTCTACAGTGGGAGACGTTGAAAAAACTCTTCTTGAAACCTTACCAAACTCATTTCCTTTTCGTTTGATCTATCACGCGTGACGTTTTAATGTCGTGGTGTGTGCGTTCTACAGTGGGAGACGTTGAAAAACCTCTTCTTGAAACCTTACCAAACTCATTTCCTTTTTGTCAGGTTTGTCTATCCTAATATTTATGTAACAGGTTCGCCTCAAGATTGTAAATGGAATTTGCGGTGAATTGTTTAACTTTTTTCTTCTATTTGTGCTGAAGAGAATATGAGATTTTCAAACTTTTCCAACTCCTTCCAAAGTCAACAAACTCTGAGGATAAAAATTTTGACGTCAGAATTTGATTTGGTTTGTATCACTTTTTAAGGCATTGTTTCTTTAGTTGTTGCTAAAACCATGACGTATACTAAATACTGATATACATACTGATACATACAAATACATACTGATTTGTCAATCGTAACTTTAATCAGAATTTTTTTTTTTTTGGAGAAAGGCTATTTGCACTGTTGAAGAATACAAAATTATTTTATCAAATTTTTGAATAATTTGCAATCTGAAGAGGAAATCGGCTTTTATTCTTCCCTCAAATATATTGCCTTGTTAAAGGATAGCAAAAATTATAACGTAAGCAAAATATAATTTGTAAATTATATTTCCGTTTCTCAATCTATTCTGATACGATGCGTGCATACAGTAGTTCTCGAATCGAAACACTGGAAAGTATTATTTCAAATCATTTAAAAATATATTTCAAAATTATTAAAATAAGGAAGAAATGTCACGTTTACTAAATTTTTATCATTGAAAAATATATAATTTTAATTTTAAGATGGTGCAAATATCTCTTTTATTTATCAATATTTTCGGAAGTTATCGCCCAAAAATGACATATGTTTGCTTAATTTTTAATTAATGAAAATTCCAATTAAAATGTTTATAAAATCGCCTAAAGATGCACATTTCTACCCTTCAAAGTTTGTAGCAAATTTTATTCAATATAATGCTAATTTCAATCATTTCTCAATCAAAATTTTGTATTTTGTAACTAAACCTAATGAATAGATCAACCCTGTCTGTGCACGCAGAAAGATCAGCAAAATTATATTTCAGGTCTGTCAGACTTTCTATGACACAATATTTTGTCTATTATCCGACATTATTTACTGAAATCCGCGATTATCCAAACTACTGTGAGTTTATGTGCATTTTATAGTACTAACAGACAGACAGAGAAACACACACATTTGTTTTTATTACTAGTAGAAAAAGAGATGATTGTGTTAAGGAATTTTGGGTTAGTCCTACAAACTATTTTGTGGAGTCCATGATTTACAAATGTATCAGATATAGAAACAACAGAAGTTCGACTGAGAAAACCGAACAATTAATCCTATTAAAAAACCAGTATAGATTTCACAAATACAGGTACAGCTTCAATACAAAAAGCCTGAATCTCATGTTAGAATAAACACACGTAGTATTCAGAATAAACTCCAATATTACGCCTGAAGCTGAATTAAAGCTTAACAGTTTCTGATTCACTGAAAGATAACAAGTAAATCAACATTCTCCAACAAGAACCTTTTAATCTACACGTAAGAATAGGATTTTTTCTCAAAATTCCGTATTCTGTTATTTTAAGATAAATAAATTTTTTAAAACTTCCTGCATATTTCTTTTTATACCCATACTTTGCGCTAAGTTCCTAAAGAGTAGAGAAATAGGGGCTAGTTTTTCATTTGGCGTTTATTTTTATAAAATAAATATCTCAAAATGATTAACTTTTTTTGTGCTATATTGACTAATAAACAAATTAAGAACCACAATACAACTGAGCGGTTTATGAAAACATTAAATAACATTGCTCTAGCATCCAGCTTGTTAGATAAAGAGTTTATAAAAACATTGATAATAGTCTAAAACAAATAACATTGCTCTAGCATCCAGCTTGCTAGATAAAGAGTTTATAAAAACATTGATAATAGTCTAAAACAAATAACATTGCTCTAGCATCCAGCTTGTTATATAAAGAGTTTATAAAAACAGTGATAATAGTCTAAAACAAATAACATTGCTCTAGCATCCAGCTTGTTAGATAAAGAGTTTATAAAAACATTGATAATAGTCTAAAACAAATAACATTGCTCTAGCATCCAGCTTGTTATATAAAGAGTTTATAAAACCAGTGATAATAGTCTAAAGCAGATAGCATTTCTCTACCTTGTTATATAAAGGGTCCGCTTTGTCGGACGTCGGGGATGACACCTCAGCCGGCATTATCTTTCCAAACTTACACACTACAGCAGCGCTGCTCTCCTGACTTTAAAAGGCGTATCTCAATTTATTTTTAATTTTCTGATTTTTTTCTACTTATTAATATTTTTGAGCTGCCCGGCATTATTTCTAAGCAAAAAAGGCGGCATCTTGTTAAGAAATGGTAGAAAACCACTAAAGAAAAAATGTACTGTTTGTGAGCTGCTCACAAACGTTACTAAATAGGAATAATCTGAAAATTGAGATGCGCCTTTTAAGCTTAAGAGGGCCGAGCGGGAGGGCGTCGGACCCTCCACGTCAGATTTAGCGTGAACCGGGCCCCGATGGGATCAGATTGCTTCCAACCTCGGGCCCTGGTCCCCAAGTCGAGACCCCCGGGCCAACACGACCCAAATAATATTTCGGAGGAGACATCCGAGTGCAGTGGATTAAAGCATATTACATGTGGGTTTACTTTCAAAAGCAAGATTTAAAGAATGTTGTGCCTATATAAAAACTTTCAAACACGAGTAATAATATTTGCTGCAAAAGAACACTTGCATCGGCCAGGAGTCGAACCAGGGTCAATTGCTTGGAAGGCAACTTTGCTAACCGTTATACCACCGACACTCACACCCGTCCGATCTAACAAACACAATAACCGCTTCACCCGAAGTAAACAGAGCGATACAGCTGAATAAAGAAGGATCAGTGGTTACAGCAAATAGGCAACTACTACGTTCCCACTTTATCAACTAATTTTGAAACAAGTTAGCAAGCCATCCAAACCCTCTCTCTAAATTGGCGGGAGGAGGTTAGATCCTCGACAATTCAGCCTGCAATCTCCAGCCTCTAAGCTCAGACTGAGGTCCAAACAATGTTTCAGAGGAGATATCTGAGTGCAAAGAGTTTTGAAGCACATAGCATGACGTTCACATTCAAAAGCATATACCCACAAAATTTTGTACCTATAATAAAAACTTTGAAATACGAGTAATAAAAATTGCTGCAAAAGAACACTTGCGTCGGCCGGGAGTCGAACCCGGGTCAACTGCTTGGAAGGCAGCTATGCTAACCGTTATACCACCGACGCTCACATCAATTTGATCTAACTTCATTCAAGCAGCAAACACAATAAGCACTTTACCCTAAGTAAACAGAGCGATAAAAACAGAATAAAGAAGGATCCGTGATTACAGGAAATGGGCAGCAGCGAAGTTCCTACTATGGAAAGTGTTTAGTCATTGAGTAAACGTTTCATAAATAATGCAAAATAATTGAGTATAATAAATGTGAACGCTCGTGAAAATGATTAAAAAGCAAAAAAAAAGTTGTTGCGCATGTAAATATAAGAGAAATACTTATCCATCATGAGTACGTAAACACGCTGTCATATAAAGGAAGTATTAAGCGTAGAAAGTAATTTGAGAATTAATGGATTTTTTTTTTAGTATTATGTCAAAATTCTGTCAATTTCCTTCACGGTTTAAATTAAATTTCTGGGCTGATGGAAGCCATAGCTAAAAAGGTTTGTTTAATGGCAGAAAGTTATTTCACGTCAATGAGCAGAAAATATTTTCTGTTTATTTTCTCTCAGTAATTACTTTTTTACTTTCTCGTATACGAAGTATACAAAGAGAAAGTATTGTAATCGTCAAAAAATTCGAACTCCAGATTTTGACGAATCTCCACGTTATAGACCTCCCCGAGTCCGAAAAACACAATTTTGGAATTATGTCTGTCTGTGAACACGATAACTCGAAAACTATTAGAGCTACGGTGATAAAATTTGGTATGTGGTCTTTAAACATACTTTGTAGGTTTCTGTCAACTTTTGGACAAAATCCGTCAACGGGAAGTCTGTCTGTCTCTATGTTCGAGGTCATGCGAACGCTATAACTCAAAAACTTGAAAAGCCAGATGGATAGAATTTGGTACACAGTTTTATCGTCATGAATTTAGGTCCGTATAAAATTTTGGGCCAAATTCGTCAACGGGCTGACTGTCTGTCGGTCTGTATAATAGCATACTTGTTCGACTCCATGCGTGTGCGTAAATGCCTGTGCAAAGAAGGGATACTCCGAAACTTGGCAGTTTGCCAAAAACCAATTCTGGCGGCGAGATTTTGTAAGAACGCAAACATTTAGGGCGTCTCGTTTCACTTGCGTATTGAAAGCAATCTCTGCGCATGCGCAAGCTATTCTGTTTTCTTCTCCGCACGCGGAACTCGCATTGCTAGAGTTTGATAAAAAATATATATATTGCGAAGTTTTAATACATACGTATCTTTTTGAATATGATTCTTCACCTCAATATTTTAATATCACTATAATCAACAATGAAAAACCTTCTGATAGTCATTGCATTCTGGATTACAGTTGGTTCGAACTTTTTATCAACGCAGGGGGAAGGGAAATGACAAATATTTGAAAAGTATACGAGAAAGTTTAGGGGAGGCCACTCCCGTTGGTTTAAAAAAAATTTCAAACAGTTTTGGAATTTTTCTTTTGTTTATATGAAAAAGTAAGTTACTTTTTAATAATTTTATATGTTCTGCATATAAATATCAAAGTGCATGCATTTTCAAACCAGAATCTTTCTTTTATATTACATATATACACATACATTGTCTTTGCCTTCACAGGAATAAACCAGCGGGAGTGGTCTCCCCGAAACTTTCTCGCATACGACCAGTAATGTGGGGTGGGTAGGTAAATATTTTTGGGGTATTTACCCAAGGCCTGGTTGTTTTGAAAAAAAAAATTATGAATGGTGAGTTACAATCAAGCATATAAAATGTATGAATTCCCAAAAACTTAATATTTTGCAAAAAATTGCGTATGTTCGCAATTTTTACGCGCGCTGAGGTACCACAACTTTATTTAACGTTTTTGAGTACGAAATCTTACTATAGATATCGCACAACATTTCACTACACCTCTGGTACAGGAGTCCATCTGGAGAATATCAAAAAGCAGTTTCGTTTTGGGGATTGCCATGATTTCCGAAGCGCGTGTTTGCGGCTCGCTTCAATTTCCGTCAAGGTCAAACGCCAACCATACTCGCTTGAGTAAAATAAGCGAAACGCTCGACAACACACAGTCGTAATGTGCATTTTGAACTAAATATGCAATTTGAACACCTGTTTTTCAACCGACTGAGATAAAAATTGGGCACAGATCTATAATTAATGTTAGCATCCGCGATATCAAGTTTTATTTATCTAAGTCAAAGGGCTTATGAGATACAAGTATGCGATTATACAGACCGACAGACAGTCAACCCGCTGACGGATTTCGCCCAAACTTTTATACGAACCTATATTCATGACGATAAAACTGTGTACGAAATTTTATCCATCTAGCTATTAAAGTTTTTGAGTTATGGTGTTGTTGAGTTTGACTTCGGACGTACAGACAGACAGACTTCCCGTAGACAGATTTTGTCCAAAATTTGTTAGAAACCTACAAATTATGTTTAAAAACCACATACCAAATTTCATCCCCGTAGCTCTAATAGTTTTCGAGTTATCGTGTTCACAGGCAGACATAATTCCAAAATTCTGTTTTTCGGACTCAGGGAGGTCTAAAACATGGAGATTCGTCAAAATCTCGAGTTCGAATTTTTTGACGATTATAGTACTTTCTCTTTGTATACTTCGTATACGAGAAAGTAAAAAGAGAGATTCGTCAAAATCTCGAGTTCGAATTTTTTGACGATTACAATACTTTCTCTTTGTATACTTCGTATACGAGAAAGTAAAAAGTAATAGTCAAAATGTTTATAGTCACTGAATCCAGGATGTTTTAATTGCTCCTTTGTTTATAATTAATCCTATTAAAATGGGGCTTCCTATGTAGAGTGCAATTTCTTTGAACCAGAAGCAATTGGATCTTACAGAGATTTTTCCGCATAACTGAATAAATGTTTCTAGATATTATCCGCTCATATTTTATGATGTCTGCAGAAACTTCAGTAAGTCCAATGTTCATGTTTTTCGATCCATTGGCCACAGGTAAATAAATGATATCAAAAATCGTATAGATTATTTAAAATTAAAACCTATACTTTAATTTTATATTTTAGAAAATCAAAATTGAACAACATTCATCTCTTTGAGATTCAGAGTTATCATATTCACATGCAAACGGCTGAACGCACAGACAGACTTCTCTTTGACAGATTACATCCAAAAATTGATCCAGATGTATATTTTTGTGATAAGGTCAGATACCAAATTTCACTCGTCTAGCTTATTCTGATTTTGCGCTATCATGTTCAGAAACAGACATACATAATTCCCCAGAATATTTTGTTCGGACTCCAGGAGGTCTAAAACATGGAGTTTCATCAAAGTCTCGAGATCGAATATCTCTACGATTACAATACTTTCTGTATTTCATTGATCGAGCGAAGCGAGGTGTACGTTTCAACTCCAGCATTCAGCGCTTTGTCTGTCTGTAAGTTTGTTACACGATTACGACCAAATGCGTTGCTCGATTTCCTTCAAATTTGGCATAAATATTTCTTGAAGAAATAGAAAACAGTGTATATGCTTTATTTCCATTTATTTTAATTCGGTAACAAAATAATTATTTTAATTATAAATAATTATTACATTAATTGGTAATAAAAGAGCGAGTGGCAACCAAAAATTAAAATATTGACATCAGAGTTGTAAATAAACACAGTTCGCTTATGGCTATGTATCGTTATCCGCATTTCGCTAAATAGATGTTATTTATTTTTATAATATTTGGCTATCTTTTAGTTCTGAATTTATATTTAAACTCATTTACCATCTAAACCATTTCTTTTTTACCCTATATGGCGCAGTAACCAATTTAAAAAACTTTAAAAATTCGCTTGTAATTGTTAAGCCTAAATGGAATTATCAGACGCATCTCGCCAAGAAATGCCATCTCGCCAAGATAATTTCGCCTGCCGTATAAATCGTCTGATCTTCATAGTAACGACAACTTCTCGCTTAGATATATTTCTTTGCCAAATTGCAATATTTATCGCCAAGTTATTTTGAGTTCCATCTTCTTAGTTCTAACGAAGTGAGTTGGAAAAAATATTTTAATTTGCTGTCTATTTAATAGTGAAATTTCCTCTATGATATTTTTTAACTAACCAATTTAAGGATTCATTTTTTCTCTGTGGATTTTTGGTGCCATCTTTCTCAAAATATTTCGATATGCTGCTTAAAGATAAGGGAATTAAAAGAGCTAGAGATGTTTTGCTAATTCAGCAAATTAGGAACCATTTTATCCATATTTACCTATAACTAGAGGTCGCCCAGCGGTCGAAATTCGACCGTAATTCATTAAATTTTTAAGTTTGATCGTTTTTGAGGTTCTTTTATCAAAGAGTATACCTCTATAATCATTGCATATAATTTTTTTGAATTTTGTTCTATTACGTCAGCTGCGAGAGTGTACAAATACGTATTTATGCATTAATTTTCGAATTATTTGAAAAATACGAACGATAGGAAAAATGAAGTATAGCTTGGCTAAGTCATATTTAAAAAACAATAACGCGTTTTTTGACATTTCCTTGGGATTTTTTATTGCTATACTGGCTAGTTAATTTGCCTATCTTTTTCAAATTATATAAAATATAAA